AAAAGATTTTGATTGTTGAATGATAACTTAAACACTGATATCATGTTCTGATCTGATTATATAATTTATTACGTCATTTCAACTCTTTCGAAAAAAAATTTATAATTACATCATTCATAACTGATTTCAATTCATGTCTCTCTTTATTACCATAATTCTATTTCAGTTACTTCATTAAATAATCATCTAATGTGTTTTAATTCCATGAGTTCTAATCACTATTTCTATGTTATGGAACCTTCCCTCCCAAACTATATATATTTGAAACAAAATTTTTATAACCTCATTATCTCTAACAGCATCTTTGCTACATCATGTTCATCCTTTATCACCCTTTGATATATGTCAATATCTGTAAGAACGTTGAATTTCAAATATTTTAGGTTGTAAGCAGCTGATGAGAACCTAACGAAATAAAATGAATTCATATTATTCTGCACCAACCTTTGTTCTTGCTCTCTTTAAAAATTTAATGAATGATGAAATATAAATTAAAATTTCAGTCTAAGCATTAAGTTTCACGATATTAAGGGTTCAACTAACATGATGATTGACAAATAACTGTCTATCACCATGTATAACTTATCGGTGATTTATAATCTAGTAGTATGGAATATGAAATTAAACTTAATTAATATTTAGTGAACAGAATACAATCAGCTGGAATATATAGATATACAATATCAGTTCACACATTATCGTTGTTCAAATTCGTTTGTTCAAATTCGGATGAGGAGCAATTACCTACTGATGGCACTTGAAGATGATTGCACAATGTCACAAGTTGACTGGAGATAGTCACATACAACATTGGATGCCAATTCACTGGTTTAGAGATTAAATGGTCTCTGTGAGACCTGGAGCTCCTGGATTGAATCACTAATGTGGTGGTGGATACTCATTCCTGAAGGGTCATATACTGGAATAAGACATTTGTCTATCGCTTCCAGCATTTTAATGGTTGTTTGACTAATATCCTTCTATGATATAGACAGTACAAGTTTTTTTAATTCAGAATCTTGTTTTGTGTTGCATTTAGAGTGGTACTTGACAGCCGTATCATTTAACAGTTATGTCATAAAATAAACTGAAATTAATAACTTGAAAGCGTCTAACAACTTTCTACTTAATAACGATGAATCACTATTAAGTTAATTTGTTTCGAGATAAATTATTAAATTGCTAATATTTGTACGATGCAGACGATTTTGAGTTTTGTTTTCTTTAAATTCACTCATTTGACTGTTTAGATTATTCCTATGGGGCATCCAAAACAAAATTAATAAAAATGCTCTTGTCTTGAAGTGTTAATTGATATGTATTCTATTTTTAGTAGCTACCCCGTAACATTTATTTGTTTAATAGTTGAATTCATGAGTCGAATAAAGCTAGACCACCATGGAAAACCTGGAAGCACTGAACGGCCACTTCGTCCTAGTATGGGACTACTCAGCAATGCGCATCCACGATTCCGTTTCAGTTTTAATGAAATGAGTTCAATCTATATTATTTATTCAACTGACCGACTGAATAACAAATTCTATTTAGCTTAATATCGGTCTAAATTTATTATTCTTTCTCAATCTTCAGACAATCAACCAAACATTGTTATATGAAAGTGATGTACGACCATTGAGGTTAACCTATTAGAACAGTAGTGTGTAAATATTTAGTTGATCATGAATTGAATAATTGTGTGGTAACTGTCATTAATATGATACTAAATGACTTGATTCCACGAAAATCATTAATTACATCGAGATTTCAGATATGCCTAGATAAAAATAATCCCAGCTTGTGATAATCAGTTTTTTACCAAATACTTTCAATCAACTGATTAAAACTCTACAGCTTTACAATTATTAGTTATGATCGAGTCTAAAGCAATATGATTATCTTTTCTTAACAGTAATTAGGAAAGTAATTCAGAGTGTATGTTTCCTTCTCATTTAAAACTTATCCTTTATTGACATTCAAAGATGTATTAAGATAATATTCTGACAAAAAAATTTCCGTAAACATAGGCTAATTTATTTGAGAAAGAAAAAGAGGATAAAAACGACTCAATGACAAAATAATTCAAACCAAAGTGGTATATATTCATATGTCATTAGAATATTTCCAGTATTTTACCAAAAAAAATCTTTGTCACGATAAAAAATAAAGATGGTAACCATTGAAAAGCAGAACAAAAGAAAACAGAAGTTATTTAACTAGTGAACTGACATTTTTTTAAAAATCAAACCCACTGTCAACAAATTGTATTAAGAAAATATGCTTGAAAAGTTCAAATGAGAATCCTGAATGAAATTAAAAATCTACATAAAAATATTAAAGAATAAATAAAGAACAAACTGACGAAACAATAGTCAAATAACATAAGTTTAAGAAAAAAATTGAAATAAGCAGAATTAACATAAAAAAACTGTGGTTCTTATAGTTTATATCATGAACTGACCTTAGGTTTGACAATCATAGAAAACAAGGAAGCAATGAACATTTGTCTTGTCCTTATATAAAAGACACCTTAAAAATACATATACATGATCTTATGCGAAATCAAACTAAAATTTCGATTTCATAGAGAGCATTTAACTTCTAGACTTTTAAATTGATATCGAGTCATATATATGCCTAACTTGATTCAATTCACAATATTGCACAATCATCTTAGATTGTCCTTTTTGAGTAATTAACTGAGTCACATCAAACTATTGTCTAAATTTAGTTAATGATGTAAATTTAGCAATCACCAGAAACCTATACTATTCAAACGCTCACAGAAAAATCCATAAAAGACTTCCGGATAATTTTTTATACATAACTCTTCTACTAATAAAACTATCAGTGTGGAACGTTGATATATATACAATGAACGAGAAATCAGATGCAAAATTACCGAGTGTTTTCGTAAAATATGAAAACCATACACTAAATAAATGGTTTGCCCTTCATCCTTCAGTTGTACTTTACATGTTTCATGATTCTTTCAATTCTGTTGTTATTGTAATTGCTCTCAGTTTCTCTTCTCAACCTTCTGCTGGTAGGCATCTATATATTTCAGAAGTAGCTTTTTTGAAAGTCAACTCCAAATTGTTTTTCTTCGGAAAGTATGTAGGCTAAAACGCAACAACAGTTTTACAAAAAATTTTGAATCAACTGGAATATAATGACTTCATGTCTGAGAATGCTTATTTTCCTTGTTGTAAGTTATTATTATTAGAATCGCTCCATTCAACTGTAGATCGGGTCTTCAATTCAAAGAGGTCAACTGTTTGGCAAGTAACAGTTCAATACCCAATCGTACAGTAGTCTCACACGTTCAGTTTTATTCATAATATTAATATGTGTTTGTGATGATTGTTGAATTTTCATATTTTACATCAAGGATTGACCTTAATTAGACGACCAGTGAAAACCAGAAACTACTGGATAATTGTTTCATCTAAATATCTGAGGCAGAATTGTATTTCAACATAAATTAGACATGATAACCATTGGATGCCCATTCAGTGTCTACAGTTTTGGTGTTCACTGTGAGACCTATATGCTCAAGGTTCAATTCCTAGTGAGATTGTCGAAGCACACTGGTTGCTAAACTAAAACCAGCCCTTAATATAAATCATGGATAATATTTAAGATTAGACAAAGGAAACTTAACAAATTCCAGATATATTCAAACATAACTATTACTGATCTATATTTCTTTTATTTAAATAACATAGAAGTAGTATGAAGACATTTATTAATTAATAATTAACTAAAATGAGATAAAAATCCATAAATATTACCTTCTAGATGACTGATTTATTATATACTTAGTAACCATAAGAGATGGATAAACACTGAGTTAATCACATATACACATACATATACCTATACGTATTCACAAATCACCTAGTCAACATTAAATATTTGGAAACAAATACATAAATTGTCCGGTGTTAAGCTTCAGTTTTACACACAGACAAAATAAAATATATTTTATTTATGAAAGACAAACAATTTCTTAACTAATACGGAAAAGAAAAATGTAGTACATGGTCGTTTAGATGAACTGGTAGAAGTTTTCTTGTTAATATTTTTACTTTACGACAGTGGAATATTGCTAATTGGCAAAATTTTCAGCAAATGACATATGTATTCTGCATAAACCTATACATATATTCAGATAGGGTTTTTGTAGATATTATATTAATTTGATAGTCGAATTCATGAGTTGATTGAATCTAGAACATCATGGAAAACCTGGAAGCACTGAACGGCCGTTTCATCCTAGTATGGGACTACTCAGCAGTGTGCATCCACGATACATATGTATAAAATATATTTCCTCATATACATATCAATGAACATTATATTCATAAATAATTTTCTCGATAATCAAGTTTCTATGACCATCCTTCTGACCCCTCCCTCCCCTGTTGTCCATTTAGTTTTATTTTTCATTAAAATAAATTTCCCATCTCCGTTTTATGTCTAATATTTCCTTTTAGATTTTAGAAGAAAGGACTGTTTTCTATCTTAAAATAGCATCTAATTAAATGAATTTACATCCTTGTAAGGGATTCTATGGGGATTTGTTACGGATTGATTTTGCCAATGAATACTCTGTCATACCAACTATGTTATTTTAATAAGGACAATAAGATCAATTATCTGAAAACTAAATAAGTACATGATTTTCTATTAAGAGCTTATTAAGTAGAAAATTGAAGAAATACGCATAATAAATTTTCTTAATCGTCAGATTTGTGAACATTTAGATGCCTACAGGGTACTCAATATTTTAATATAAATGTGGTTTATTATAGAGGAAATAACTTTCTAAGATTTTCCAGTTTTTGCTAATTCTCCAACTAGTAACAATTCATACGAGTAATCAGTTTTCAAACTTTTCTGTTCATTCACTTGACAAAATATGTATCATTTTCTTGTGATTTCCTTATTTTATACCATTATTAATTTCATTTGTCTATTTAACTTTGTTCTATTAACAGATTTGGGCATCTGTTCTCCTAGTATTAATGATTGCATCTGTAATGTGCTACTGTTTGTCAACACATGATGTCTTCCGGACAAAATCCACTATTATGTTATCATACAATGGTTTACAGTCATCTACTGCAGCTGAACCAAATTCAAATAGAAATAATAATCTTTATAATAATAATAATGAAGAGAATAACTTTATGACTAAACCATTTCATACTGATCAAAAAACATCATATCAAACTTTTCTATCTACTACAACCAATACATTGAATACAATCACAACTAAAGATAAACAATTTAATACAACATTTAATAATCCAATATCTATTTGTTATGATTCATTATGGCATCCGAATCCTAAAATACAAAAAGATTGTTCTACTGAACCATCGGAAGGATTAGTTACATTTGATATTTCATTAAATTGTTTATTTACCATTGAATTTCTGCTCAAAGTTTTACTTGCACCAGATAAACCAAAATTTCTTACATCTATTGTATCAGTGTTTGATATGGTGATATTATGTAGTTATTGGGTATATATGTCATTATTTTATTATTATTATTATTATCCTAAAACAACAATGACAAATAATGTTGAATTAAAAATTGAACTGAGTGGATATTTATGGTTATTGAATATTTTATCAATGACACAAGCATTACGTATATTACGTATATTTAAAATATCAAAAATATCTCGTGGATTAAGAGTACTTATATTGACAGTGAAAAAAAGTATACCAGAATTAGTTCTATTAGGTTTTCTATTGATGAATGGTATGTTTTTATTTTCTTCTATGATGTATATAGCAGAATATCGTGTAAATGATACATTTCCTGATATACCACAATCATTTTGGTGGTCAATTATCACTTTAACAGCTGTCGGTTATGGAGATATGCATCCAAAAGGTGGAGCTGGCTACTTTGTCGGTTCATTAACAGCTATATCTGGTTGTATTGTTACTGGATTAGCAATACCAATAGTTGGGAATAATTTTAATACATATTACAAATATATGAAAAATCAATTAATGGAAGATAAATACTTGAAAACATTACGTAAAGATATGGAAGCTACAGGTGGTGTCAGTGGGACTAAATCAGGTTTAGGTGTAGCTGCAGATAAAGGTGGTTTACCTTTGCCAGGTAGAAAACCGCGTAATATTAATCGACGTATAATACGTGGTAGTAAAATCAGTAAAAATGATACTATGAAAAGTAGTTTAGTAAATATGATGGAAATTTGTACACGATCAATAAAACGTCTATTACCAACAGGTTTAATTAATAAAAATAATTGTAAACCAATTGGTGTGCCTAAAACTCAAACAACTGATTCTATGCAATTATTAACAGAGAATCAAAAACTTCCTAATGTGTTCACACGTAAAGCAACTATCCATGAACTAAATGAAAGGAAGAATAGTTATAAAAATCAAAATAATATGTCCACTAATAATTTAATGTCGTGTAAAAAGAAGTTGAGTAATGATAGATTAGATATTGAACATCGACCAAGTTTGATGTATCCATTAGCAACGGATCAGTTTCTCAATTCACTTCTACCTTCTCAGTTATCATTAATTCCAACACCTCAAATATGGGTAGATGGTGAAGAGTTTGATGATCAATTGTCAGCTGCAAGTCATGTGTTTGATAATAATGGTAGTAATAACAATAATAATATTAATACCATCAAGTCATCACAATCAATTTGTTCTGCACCAAGTATAGAAGCTACTGAAACAATTCAAAATCATCCTGATCATCACTATATTTATCCTCGTATGTCTATTGTCTCAGAGGAAATATTACCTAATTCCATACAGATTTCATCAGATATACCATGTTGTACAGTTTTGAATGTTTCCGATGTAATACAAAATGATGACAATATAATGTCCAGTGCTGAAGATGGTGATGATGAACAGGAAGATTCTAGTTGGGAAGTTAAAACAATGAAATCAACAAATAAAATCCATATGAATCGTGAAATTAATATAATACCACGTAAATCTCCATCATTAAAAATGTCTACACTAAAAAATAATAATAACGAGACTAGCAATTATGATAAAAAAGATAATAATAATAACAACACAGATAATAACAAACTTAAAAAACCAATTGCTAAGAGAATGAATTATGTATAAGTGGGTGATTCGATGCAGTCTGTTCATTAAATTTATCATAATCAATCAATCAACCAATTATTGACAATGAAAACAACATTATTCAGTAATTCAAAACTCTTTAAATAACTTCTTAATGAATGACCTATACAAAGACTTACAAGTTTTAGGTGATTACATTAGAAACCCACAATCATTCACTAATCATCAATAAGGAAAGTATAGTTTCATAGTAACAATAATTTGTAAATTTAAAAAAATATGATTACCATTATTGTTTTAATACGAATGTCTATTTTCAATGTAGATATTATTATTACTACTTTTAACATTTTTTTCTTCTGATACGAATGGTAAATACTTCAATAATCATTTTCATTTAACTCAATTTTCTCTTTTCTTTCTTATTTGCTTCTCTTTATATATATATATATATATATATATATATACATCTATTTCTATGAAAGTTGTAATGAATAAGAATCAGATAAGATAATCATAAAACTTTATGCAATAACAACAACAACTACTACTAATACTACTGATTAAAATATTATTATAATATTCTACTAATAAAATTTAATAATGATTATAGTTTTTTCCTGAAATGTAAAATTATTATTACATTTTCTTATCTGCTTTTAATTGTATGTTGTGTATTGCGGTGTTTAAATGATAATTTACACTATTTCAAAGAGTTATAATATATATTCCTTTCTTTCTTTTCCTTTTTTTCTTCTTTTTTTCTTTTTTCCACTATCAAATATCAATAATATAGTGTTTAATGTTCAATTGTAAGTAGATAGAAAATATTTCATTAATTGTTTAATGATGTAATTAACATTTTTAATTATTCATTTGAAAAAGGAAAAAGATAATAATACCTGTGAAAATGATTTTGTAAATTTAATAAATCAACTAGTTAGTAATGAATAGTTTTCAATAAAATTTTTAATTCAATTGTTTATTATTAATATCAGTAAGGGGTTTTGTTAAGATTTTAGTCATTTAATTATTGAATTCATGAGTTGATTAAGGCTGAATTACCATAGAAAACCTGGAAGCACTGAATAGTCGTTTCCTCCCTAGTATGGTACTCCTCAGCAGTAAACATCGACGACCACACATACAGGACTCGAACCCAGGACATTCGGTCTCATGGGCCAACACTTAGTCTCTAGACCTCTAAGCAGTCTCATACTAGGATGAAACAACCACCCAGTGCTCTCAGGTTTTCCATGGTGATCTAGCTCAAATCAATTTATCCACGATCTCGCACTACTGAGGAGTCCCATACTACGACGTTACGATCGTCCAGTGCTTCCAGGTCTAGCTTATATTGACTCATGAATTCAACTATAAATAATATACTGTGGCATACTCTTAGATACATTAGAATTGGATGATGTCATTATTATTAAAACATTTTAAGCACAATTTACAGAAGATGAATAAAGTTGAAAAACGTTAAAGTTTGTAGGAACAATACACTTTAGCATGAGACCATTAATTTATTATATAGTGGAGAAAAAATGTCTCAGGTCGGTTGCAAAAAAATTTAACTATGATGCCACATTGAGAACTTTCAGATAGTATTGTTTGTTAAAGGGAAAAAAGTCAGTATCAGAATGAAATTTCGATAAAACTACATATGTTGAAGAGCTTTTCATATCAAAATGTCAGTCAAAGTGTCATTTTTAAGTATGGTAGTTCATTTGATGTCTGTATTAAGTGAATTGTGCATTTCATTGTGTGATGAGTTTCACAAAAGTTTAAAAGGGAAGTCATTGATGAACGCTAAATAAATTAAAAGGTAAACAAAAGTATCATTACCAAAGTTTGGTCTCAGAATGGTGAATAAATTTCAAACACTAGAAATTCTATGTCTTATTTATTAGAACTCAACAAATACAAAATTATTTTATTATTTTAAGATGTTGGTAAGTGATTGAAATAAAGTGTGTACTGTCTAGCTGATGCCATTTTACGACGAAAATCATTTACTGATTATTACTAACGACATGTGATCTGAGAAGCTAACCAGTTCGGTAGCAAAAATATGGATTATTGACAACATTCAATAAATTCAATCGATTTAATACAATCCAGTTTCATATCATCAAGTGATTTTTGGTTAGAAAACCAATAAAAACCCGGGAACTATTAGATAGTTGTCTCATGCCGGTGTTGAACTCCCAAACGGTCCATAGACCTAATCCTATCAGAGATTATGTCTATGAATTAGAAAACTCGCGGTTACACAGACTCTGAAGATTAATAAACAATTCTAGTTGCCCAAACTGAAATAAATAAGAAATTCAAACTCTGTGATTGGACAATAGAACCTATCAACAAATTTTTTGTAAATGTAAATGTTGACAAACCCACGAAACTGAAAACAACTGATCTCATTCGATACTATTAGAAAATTATGTTGAATAATAAGTGAACTAACAACTGGAATTTGACTTGATAATCTATATTTCCCTTGCTCGAGAACAGGTTTTCAGGTCGTAGGATTGATTACATGTAGAATAGTATATTCGCATCGTTAAAGCATTCCGAAATTCGAAATAAACATTTAGCTAGTTCTCTATGATCTTTCAGTTGACAATAATTCAAGATATAAACTATCCCGAAAATGTATGTTTTCCTGTTTAAGCGCCAAAACAACGTTGATTAATAAAGTCTCCGAAATCAATCTTAACAACGATTTCTCAATACTAATTTTTTTAGAAAAAACATAATGCTTCCAATCAAATAATTTTAACAATTTACATTCGCTTTTCCGAATATATTACTTATGGTACACGTATAAAAAAAGTAATATATGTCCTAATATGTTTTTTTCATTTAAAACTGAAATATGTAAAATTGGTTGGAGTTTCGTCAAATATATATCAGCATCAACGAGGTGGGGTTTATTTTTGAAACAGTGATTTTCTTTTATGCTTTTACTTATGTATATATATATATATATATATATATATATATTCGAAATTGTAATTTACATATATTTACATTTGTTTTTAACCCTGTTAATTTATGAGTTTTTCAAATGGACTATTTTAATTTGTATATGCTTTCCATTCAAACAAAAATGACGTAATATGATTAAAAATAAAATTCTATTTTGTCTCTATATAATAAATCCGGTTCAAAAAAAAACGTTGCCAACATTTTAAATTCAAAAAAATGTATTTCATTTAACATAAGACCATGAAAGTGATTAGATGTATTTTATTTTTAGATAATACTAAGTTGAAATTCATTGTTTTAAAACAACAAAAAAGTATCATCTAATGAATTTCCATTTGTTATGAACATTTTGATTGTTTATTTCTAGGTAAAAGATGGCAAGGAAATTCACAAAGAAACGTTCAGTCTTATTTGAGATTTATTGCATAGATATATCTGAATCTTTAGGTTGATATTAACATTGAGACTCGATCACGACACTTTCTGTTTCAAACGTTTCACCTTTTTACTGATTGAACTACGGAGTTCAGGAGTTTGAAATTTTTCATTGTTGATTTGTAAAACTGTATTTTAATTACTCTTTATAGATTCTAAGTGGATTCTAAGAGGTTGACTCGATATTTACATTTTGTATCAAGTATTAAAACATATACATTGTGAATAACAGTGAAATTTTAGACTTCTATTTCATCTTAGTCTAAACTGTTCATCTGGAGAAACCTGAATTTCAACTTCAACATTTACAACCAAATAGGAGTATATTTACTATCATTTCAGACTTCAGCACATTTTTTAGTTCGTTATCGAGTCACAATAAAAGTAATTTATAGATGCATCGACAGTTATCACACATCTATATTGATGCTTTTATTAGCCACCCGCTCAATTCATAACTTCCTCAGGATATTTGAATTTTATGGATAATTTATGATACAATGCCCTATTTATTCATTTAATTACTATCTATTATATTGGAAATTTAAAGCTTTCGATTAATGCTGATAATGTTTTCAAATGGTATAACGCTAATCTATTTAATTAAAGACTACAAATTTCAGCACGTTAACTATGAATATGATTATAAAGAAAGATGGATGGCGGCTAGCCGTGGTATCCAGGACGCGTGTTTCGTTCTATTTGGGACTCATTAGCTGGATGCATCTGCGTCCGATTCGATGCTCACCCTGGGGCTCTGGCTCAGAACCCAGTACAATACATAATATAAATATAATTATGCAGCTTATGTAAATAAATTCGTTTTTGTTTCTATGACCTACTTGTTTGTAGTTCATTTCAATTTCAATATTTCACCTTATCATATCGAGTCTTCTATTTGCAACAAGAATTTCTCGATGTCCATAATGAATATTCAAGCTCTCAACATCAAAATTATTATTGGTTCCCTTAATTGAAATAAATTTTTTATGTCTTTACATATTTCACCTCATTGTTACCATAATTAGCAAAAAACATTTTATTATTACTAATATCATTATGAAAAATAAGTACATATTTGCAACTGTACAGCTTTGAAAACGAATTCGTCGAACACAGAACTCTTCGCTAAATCAATCTTTTTTATTTTATACTAACACTATTATTACCATTCATTATCTAATGTATGCTATTTGTCACATTCATAAATCAATTTGACAGGCATATATATATATATATATATATATATATATATATAATTACGCCCATGAATATTTTATTCAATTAATTAGCTGTTCAATTACACAATTACGATATCATTAGTTAGGCAGTAAATTAAAGACGAAGGTTCTATTAGATGTCGATCATTGAAATCTACGAATTATTGCTTGGTTTTATCCTTCTTTATACATTTCTAGTTTTCGAATACGAATTTCATAGACTATTGAGTGAATTCAATAAAGTTTGTACAATCCATCACTTTTAAATGTTAGAATACTTTTTAAGCATGATAGTTAACTAATTTTTTTATGATTATTTTAACCTAATTCATTTAATAAACTTTATTTATCATTAAGGTCGTAGCAATTAAGCATAATAAAACTAACCATATTATATGTAACTTTTTATTTCAAGTATCAATTAATGTTAAGAATATTACATTTTAATACAATCAAATCTATTAAAAGCACTTTGTTCATTATATATATATATATATATATATATATATATATATATATATATATATATATAGAGAGAGAGAGAGAGAGAGAGAGAATCGTGATACCTGTTTCAGTGATTAGAAATCAAGTTATAGTCAACAAACTTTTTCTGATTATTTAGTTAAACGTACGGATACTATTGGAATTTAATAAAATAAATAAATAAGCATAGTAAATCATTTTAATATATAATGAAAGTTTATTATTGACATGAATGGTTCGCTTTTACATGAAGAATTTATTGTCTACATAGTGAATCCGTATTAAATAGACAACATTGATAACCGGAAAGCATTATAGTACTGTTTAATTCTTGTATAAAACTCATCAATAGTACTTATATACACCATAATAGATTGAAACAGGAACATTCAGTATTGTGCAGTGATTACTTAACTTTTAAATCACTAAGTTGAAATGTGATAAATCATATTCCCTAACTCCAATCAATTAGTGATATTTTAGAAACGACATCCATTGCAGTCGGGGACATTTGTCCTATGCCTTACATGTTCTCAACTTCACTAAATAAATTTTAAAAATTATAGTGTCTTGAAAACTTTCTTCCAGATGATTGGTCTGTACAAAATCAAATCTAGAAGAGTCAAATTCTGTGGCTTATCAGCTGCTTACACATAAAAATGAGAGAGCAGACTAATGACAACACTGAATGATTATTATGCTCTATTACACGGCGATAAAAGTTGAAAAAAGTAGACAAGCATACGAACTGGTCATTTGAATAATAAGGTATTATGAGAATGTGTGCACCTTTTGATTGGTGCTGGGTTATGTACTACACACAATGGCCTAGTCTGAGTCGAATGAATAAATTTGTTTTAGAAAAATCGAATAATTGGAGCCTTACACGGAAAATAATCCGAATTGCTTAATTCTGTTTAGTTTATTGATTCTTTTCTAATCAAGCTGCTTGTGAGAATCCGATGAGTTTTGAAAGGAAACAGACAATCGCTGTAGAACCATTGAAAATCAAGAAAGCAGGTGAAATTTAAGGGTTTTTAGTTCCTCTTCACATAAAACTATGGGTTCAGATTGTTAAAAAACTTAAAACGAGGAGTAAATAGTCAGTTAGTTTCATTCATTTGTATTAGTTGTGTTTAATCTTCCTATTGACGTTCATGAATTTAATTGATCAGTTTCTTTTTGACAAATATACATCCTGTGCGGATTATCTTGATATCCTATTAAGTCAAAATCATTATGAACACAGATGTATGATGGCTAACAGTGGAATTC